TGTAGATGTGCTGTGGGAACTGGGCAGGTAGTGTATCCTCGTCCCATATCAGCTTCCAGTCTTTCGCTCTCTCAAATATAGTGACATTATATAGTGCAAGTATATAGTGAAATTGTATAGTGCAAGTATATAGTGACATTATATAGTGCAAGTATATAGTGACATTATATAGTGCAAGTATATAGTGAAATTATATAGTGCAAGTATATAGTGACATTATATCGTGCAAGTATACAGTGAAATTATATAGTGCAAGTATATTGTGAAATTATATAGTGCAAGTATATAGTGACATTATATAGTGCAAGTTTACATCTTGCAATTTGACTCCACCATCTGTCAACAAAGTCATTAGCATCCGACTTTGTCATTTCCAGTTTCCGACAAAGATACACACAACTTGCCGTGTTACCATGTTACGTTACACAACTTAACAAAACGTTTCAAGACTACGTTAATAACTGCTTTCATATTTTGTTCACTCTCTGTTTCAAACTTCTTTGCCATTATTATTAACACTAGTGTAACCCGGCCTTATTAACATTGTAACAAGTAGTATATATCATATACTACTGTGACTGTTTCGACAGTAAATAAACTTGAGATATGCTGAAGACAATAATTACTTAATTAATCGGCCTATACTATTCACAAAGACAGACAGAAACTAAACTTTAGAGATTTAATAATAGCTTTTTTCATGAATATTCAAATTTTTCTCCCTATGTAATTGTAACGCCATTAAAATTACTTCGACAGATTTGTCATAAAGTTATAAACCCATATAAGAGGCGCTACAAAAGCTGGAAATTACAGAAATAAGCAGTAAAGAGACCTCGAACTGGGTCACAGAGACCTCGAACTGGGTCACAGAGAACTCGAACTGGGCCACAGAGACCTCGAACTGGGTCACAGAGACCTCGAACTGGGTCACAGAGACCTCGAACTGGGCCACAGAGACCTCGAACTGGGTCACAGAGACCTCGAACTGGGCCACAGAAAACTCGAACTGGGTCACAGAGACCTCGACCTGGGTCACAGAGAACTCGAACTGGGTCGATATCATGAACAATATAAATAATTATGAGCAACACGTTGCATGATATGTGTTAAATGATAAACAATGATCGCTCCAGTCAAAGTGACCTCGTAATATAATAGTGATAATACTATCAGACTATATATCCATTAATAGCTGATATCGCTAACAGTACCATTATAAAGTAAGATGATACCGTACCAGCTGGACTATTTTGTTGTGTGATATCTGATATTAACATTAGAATTGGGAGATATACACCTGCATTTGACCTGTCTTTTCGTGGATTTTCTTGTGATATAGTACCTGCTGCACCTGCTCTGTCTGTACTAATATGGGCAAAAATCAGCTACTTAAAGTCGGGTAAGTTTTTTCCGTGTTCAGATTTTATTTATTTATAAATACGATTTTCAAGCTCGTTTTATTGCAATCACAGCCTTTTTAAGCGCCGGCAAGGCTTCAAGTTAATAAATTTGCAATAATAGTTTACACTGATTTTTTGTCGTTTATGGTATCCAATTAAAAACTCGTATTTTCGAGCTTATAGCTTTACAGGGTCTTTATCTTAGAATCATCGTACAATCGGTGGTAATCGTCAACGAGTTTGTAATTAAGATAATTCAGTGGTGGTTACACTTTAAGTTACGGTCAGTTAATCGTTCACTAATTAGTCAGTAATTAGTCAGTAATTAGTCAGTAATTAGTCACTAATTAGTCAGTAATTAGTCAGTAATTATTCAGTAATTAGTCAGTAATTAGTCAGTAATTAGTCAGTTATTAGTCAGTAATTAGTCAGTAATTAGTCAGTAATTAGTCAGTTATTAGTCAGTAATTAGTCACTAATTAGTCAGTAATTAGTCAGTAATTAGTCAGTAATTAGTCACTAATTAGTCAGTAATTAGTCAGTAATTAGTCAGTAATTAGTCACTAATTAGTCAGTAATTAGTCAGTAATTAGTCAGTAATTAGTCAGTAATTAGTCAGTTATTAGTCAGTAATTAGTCAGTAATTAGTCAGTAATTAGTCAGTTATTAGTCAGTAATTAGTCACTAATTAGTCAGTAATTAGTCAGTAATTAGTCAGTAATTAGTCACTAATTAGTCAGTAATTAGTCAGTAATTAGTCAGTAATTAGTCACTAATTAGTCAGTAATTAGTCAGTTATTAGTCAGTAATTAGTCAGTAATTAGTCAGTAATTAGTCAGTAATTAGTCAGTAATTAGTCAGTAATTAGTCAGTTATTAGTCAGTAATTAGTCCGTGATTAGTCAGTAATTAGTCAGTAATTACTGACATGACTATTAACTAATTACTGCTCGCTACTCACTGCAATTAGGGTACAGGCCCTGCAGGGATCAACGAGGAATGATAGTATTGTTGACAAATAACTATAGCTGTATTATAGGCACTGAGTATAGGCACTGTATAGCTGTATTATAGGCACTGAGTATAGGCACTGTATAGCTGTATTATAGGCACTGAGTATAGGCACTGTATAGCTGTATAGGCACTGAGTATAGGCACTGAGTATAGGCACTGAGTATAGGCACTGTATAGGCACTGAGTATAGGCACTGTATAGCTGTATAGGCACTGAGTATAGGCACTGTATAGCTGTATATGCACTGAGTATAGGCACTGTATAGCTGTATAGGCACTGAGTATAGGCACTGTATAGCTGCATTATAGGCACTGAGTATAGGCACTGTATAGCTGTATTATAAGCACTGAGGGGCGAGAGCCACAAACCTTATTACGGGGCCACAAACTTCACCCCTATCAGTACGGACTACGGGCCATGGCAAATGATAATGAATTGTCCTGACAGGACGCTATAATTATTGGTATGGTGTCAATAATGGCTGTCATTTATGGTTGGTAAATATTCATGTGCTCGCACTGGGTTACTATGGTTACAATGTGCTCGCACTGGGTTGCTATGGTTACAACGTGCTCGCGTTTAGAAACTGTGCACGTCAGAGATTGTTGCCTTTGTTTACTGATATCACTGTAATGAGACTAGTTGCAATGTTTTGTGTAGAGGGACAATCCTTGGTAATGCTCCTTCTGTCACCCACCTTTTGTAATGCTCCTTCTGTCACCCACCTTTTGTAATGCTCCTTCTGTCACCCACCTTTTGTAATGCTCCTTCTGTCACCCACCTTTTGAGGCGACCAACTTTTGGATATTTATAGGCGACCGGCCTATAAACATAATAATAATTGTATTTTGGCTACGGTCCCTGGTCGGATTATTCAATCTTTCTACGGTCCCTGCAGTCGGATTATTCAATCTTTTATGGTCTTTTTGAATTCCTCTCTCGTTTGAGTATTCGGGTTTGGGCAGATTGAAAGACAAGCAGATAGAAAGGAAGCTCGCCCTCAATAGTGGGATTAGGGTTATAGTTATAAATATAGCTGTCCTGGCTATAATGATTAGGGTTATAGTTATAAATATAGCTGTCCTGGCTATAATGATTAGGGTTATAGTTATAAATATAGCTGTCCTGGCTATAATGATTAGGGTTATAGTTATAAATATAGCTGTCCTGGCTATAATGATTAGGGTTATAGTTATAAATATAGCTGTCCTGGCTATAATGATTAGGGTTATAGTTATAAATATAGCTGTCCTGGCTATAATGATTAGGTTAGATTACATTTAAATTCTCCGACTTTTAATTCATCCTGAGACGAAATATGAGAGGATCAAAGCTCCAATTTTACTCTTTTAGCAGCTGAGAATCGATAATTGGTCATATATTATCGCATTCTGTATTACCATAGTTACACTACTAGTTACCATAGTTACACTACTAGTTACATTCTGTATTATCAGTCCTTATAAAATGAGAAAATAGAGTTACCACCAGATAAAATTATCGCTGATAAATTTGTCTGATAAATCATAAGAGCAGTCAGTTTTCGTTAGAACTCCACCGATATCGTTCATTAATCATATAAAATGGGTATTATACTCATGAACATAAAATGTATCGTCCACCCAGTTACAAGTTATTGCTCAGTAACCATGGTAACTACCCAGTTACAAGTTATTGCTCAGTAACCATGGTAACCACCCAGTTACAAGTTATACTTTATTCGCATAGTATGAACATGTCGGGCATCTATTTATAAACATTAGAATTATTGTTTTGCAACTTTACTGTGCACAGCTCTTTGTTTACTTTGTGCACAGTACTTTTGTTGACGTTATAAATATAAGCTGTTTACAAACATTTAACCGTTATAAGTACACAACTTGTCAAACTGTTGATCCTCACAGAAATTGTGACCTCTATAGTGTGACCCTTTGCTACCTGTCAACTATTTTACACGGTGAGTAGAAGATCAGGTTGTGTGTGTTTTGTGTTGTTATAGAAGATCAGGTAAAAGTGCCACCAGATTCATGGCTTTGAGAGCTGGTGGCAAATTCATCATGTCGCAGTATAAAATTAAAAGTTTTGCTCGAATCGTCATTCTATTCTATTCGATATGTAGCAAGTTTCTGATTCTCAGTCATTAGAGCTTAATCACACCAGAGTCAAGCGAAGTTGTAAAATGTAATCTCTTTATGGAGTTAGTTGCAACGATTAGCAACTCATTTACTGCAGTATAGAGTAGTAGTACTGTTACCATAGTTACACTACTAGTTACCATAGTTACTGCAGTATTATAGAGTAGTAGAGCCAGCTGTCATTATTACACCAACAATTTAAAGAATATTATGCCTACCTATTTGCTTAGCGTCTGTTGTAGATTATTATGCCGACCTATTTGCTTAGCGTCTGTTGTAGATTATTATGCCGACCTATTTACTCAGCGTCTGTTGTATATTAATATCCAGAGCTATTTACTCAGCGTCTGTAGATTTTGATTTGTGTAACCAGACTTCCTATACCGCGTCCAAGTTTTGCTCTATTACGTTTCAACCTATTTTACTGTTACCATAGTTACACTACCAGTCACAGTCAAGTGTTACCTGTGAGCACAATTACTCACTTAGTTAAAGCTTGGTATGTGTACTGTGTACCTACCATGCAGGCCGGCACTTAATTAGCACACATTCCACAAGCACACACAGTCACGCATCAAGCTGTTGGTCAATTAGATATTGTTTAATTAGATAATTAGGCATTGTCCATTGAGTGACCTACGTTTTATAGTCATCTGTCATCAGCTTTATGTTGTCATGTAAGATCTGTGATGCGAACAGTTATCCGACTAATTTCACTGTGTTTCTACTAGAGTACTTTGTTAAGCGCTGTACTTTTGAGCTCATGTTACTAGTTTAGTTACTACTGTAGTAGTAGTAGGTTCAATGTGATATTTTAGTAGCAGTGCTGTGAGTTTATTGTTTTTGTGTGAGGGATAGTCTCTGTGACAACAGGCAGCAGAGTAAAGCAGTAACCATAGTAACAACTAGTGTAACAACTAGTGACAACATGGGATCTAGACAAAAGTAAGTTTAAACTTTGCATAATAGTAATGATGTTGCGAAATGATTCAGTCTTTATATGTAATAGGACACACATTCTTTGTGAACATTTTTGTTTTTTTTGAAAGTTTGGTTTTGTTGGAATTGGCTGTTTTTCCGATTCATTACATTAATACGCAGTGACCAAGATATTTCCGTAAGTTCAAAAGGCTCAATAGTCTTCCAATTGGGATCTCTTGTAAAATTGCATGGACTTCTTCTGAGATCAATAATTAATTTACCTGCGATGTGCAAACTTTAATGACCATTCTTTGATCTTAACATCGTAAACACTCAGAAACCATGTTTTTGTTACCCAGCATCAGCAGCAGCAATCAGCATGCACAACTTTAAAACCGTCTGACATAACTAATTATTCGCACGATCGCCAAATTGCCTACGTAAACTTCTGACAAGTGGTGCCAGTGCCAACTTCTGACAGTTCCTTTCTAAGTTTCTACAACAGACTAATATATATAATATATACAGACTAATAACGTCATCCCTGTCACAGTTCGGAATTGCTGCAGATATAAACCTAGAATGACATCTCTGACTCTGACTCTGACTCTGACTCTGACTGTGACTCTGACTGTGACTCTGACTCTGACTCTGACTCTGACTCTGACTGTGACTCTGACTCTGACTCTGACTCTGACTCTGACTCTGACTCTGACTCTGTCCCTGTCTCTGTCTCTGACTCTGACTCTGACTCTGACTCTGACTCTGACTCTGACTCTGACTCTGACTCTGACTCTGACTCTGACTCTGACTCTGACTCTGACTCTGACTCTGACTCTGACTCTGACTCTGACTCTGACTCTGCTCTGACTCTGACTCTGACTCTGACTCTGACTCTGACTCTGACTCTGACTCTGACTCTGACTCTGACTCTGACTCTGACTCTGACTCTGACTCTGACTCTGACTCTGACTCTGACTCTGACTCTGACTCTGACTCTGTCCCTGTCTCTGTCTCTGACTCTGTCCCTGTCTCTGTCTCTGACTCTGACTCTGACTCTGACTCTGACTCTGACTCTGACTCTGACTCTGACTCTGACTCTGACTCTGACTCTGACTCTGACTCTGACTCTGACTCTGACTCTGCTCTGACTCTGACTCTGACTCTGACTATGACTCTGTCCCTGTCTCTGTCTCTGACTCTGTCCCTGTCTCTGTCTCTGACTCTGTCCCTGTCTCTGTCTCTGACTCTGACTCTGACTCTGACTCTGACTCTGACTCACACTATGAGGTTCCCACAAGATGTCTCCACCTAACTCTTAACCTAATACATTTAAATTTCACTATACAGATGATGAGACAGGGCCCAGGTCGAATTAAGGAAATTACTTTTGAACGAGGTTGAATCAACACCTCATTAAATGCATTAGAGCTGGGACCTGCCCGAGTTAGAGCTGCGACCTGCCCGTAACCTACTAACCTAGCGGGGGTAACACACATATTTGGGAATCTGCTTACAGTTTAGCTGTTTACACCTGTGATGATGTTGCTTTAGCAATCTCTTTATTTTCTCCGGGTATAGTGCATTACTTAATAAATAGACAACGTATATATTGGATATTTGTAGTTTGTTTTCGAGTGGGGTTATTTTGGCTCGATCTTAGAAGTAGATCATCGTTTATGCTATCTAGTTTTTGTTTTAGTTTATCGGGTGAAATCATGTCTGATGTAGGGTTGCCAACCGATATTATCGGCCGATAATTATCGGCGATAATTTCCCAAAAATCGTTATCGATTATCGCGATAATTTTCGAGAATTATCGCGATAAACGACACATTTTTATTAGGGTAAAATGGCCAACATTTAACATATTTTTCGAATCTATTTCTCTATTTGTAAAGTTAAAACCCAGTGCTAGCATAATTTGCAGTTTAATGAAGGTTGTATGGCCAGACGAAGTTATTGTTGAAGCACGGAAAGGAACTCACACTGCAACGAGACTAAAAAACTCGTTGGAGCTCGCTGTGCAGTATGTTGGAGAGATATGACCGGATAACTGATGCAGTGCACGGCATTTTAGATGACTTGGAGCTAGGCAATCTTAAACTGGATGTACAAGAGAATGAGTTAGCTCTCACACCGTTCAAGATTGTAACTGAGTTAAGAGTTTCTGTGTAAAAGAGGAAGCATGCTCGCTCAAGCAGAAGTGATTATTTAGTTCATTGACAGCAAGCTAGAAGAGATCTGAGATAGACTCGCCACTTTCTCGAACCCTTCTCGATAGGCTACGTACACGATATGCCAAGAGAAAGAACCTTCACTTCGTATCGCTGGTAAAGTTCTACTCGGACCCTGGTATTCTAAATGAAGATGTAGGACAAGAATACAGAATGATCACAAAGTCAACCTTGATACGTAACTCTAAGTCTCTGCACCAGCGGTTGTTTAAGCAGAAAGAGACTAACAGCGATTGAGCTTCTCAAGTAGTTCGACGATTGGTCCTCAGGACTCACAGGCGACTCCCACAATTTCAGATGCCAGATTCCAATCCTATCCCGCTGATAAAAGAATTATCAGACCTACATTAGGGCAGCGATTCGACTACGGTAGCAAGGACAGATACCCTCGCACGATAGGTCTGTTCACAGCTAACAGGCAGCAAACTTTAAAAAATGTTTTGCTAGAAGCAATAATTGTCTTTAAGAACATATTTTGTCTATGAAATATGGGCTTGTTACATAAAAGGGCAATATTGCAATTGATTCTTTAACAAAGCAATCAGCACAAGATGTAACATAGCATATGAGCATAATGCAAGTATGCAGAGTGCATACAAATATGACTTCAATTATATTGCCAAATTTATCGCCGATAACCGATATTATCGCGATAATTTAGAAAAAATTATCGATTATCGCGATAAAAAATTGTGTACCGATAATGGCAACCCTAGTCTGATGCAAAGCAATTTCTGGTGGAAAATAAAAGAAGAAGGTAAGTTAGAGTAGTTACCATAGTTACCATACTTACCATAGTTACCATAGTAGCATATTGCTAAAGCCACATAAAACCTCAGTTAATGGCACATTTTGGTAATCTCTTAGGTCAACAAATTTGTAAATTTGTTGGCAACAATTTTGCCAGTCACCCTATGGACCCTAAATTCTCATGTCCAAAAACTTACTTCTAGAAAATTCCAGGCCATACCTCCAACATTTATCGCAACATCTGCCCGCATATATGAAGAAATACTAGCATTGCTTGCGGAGTAAGAAATCATAAATATTTACAACAACTAGCCTGACAAGTTCCCTTACTGTAACAGTAACAAACAAGTGTTACCATAGTTACACTACCAGTAACAAACAAGTGACTGTTCCCTCAGAAACACCTGCACCCCCTTCCTATATAACCTGTTAAAAGCTACGAGAGCTGTCGCAACATGTATTATTAAGCGCACACAACGATAATGTAGGATATGCGGACCAGCTGTGCAGTGTGCACCAGCTGTGCATCAGTGGTCCACCTCACAGATTATTAATGTAACTCCAGTACGCCTCCCAGTACGCCTCCTACTACAGACCACCTAATCAGTAGGCCTCCTGCTTAATGTTCAGCCATGAAACTATTTCTTTTATTTTTCTGAATAAAGGGTCCTAGTTTGCAGTCTAGTGGAACACTGGTTTATATATAGTAGTGTGGACACTGGTTTGTACTTTGTTTGTTTGTGGTGTTGCTCCAGTTTTTTGTGATCAGCGAGGAAATTAATCGTTTGTTAAGAAATGTGGTTGAAAAAGCTTAAAACGTTAACGAAGTAAGATGCTGTTTTATACTATGTAAAATGTATGCTGTTTGGATCTTTAGAACATTGACAGCAAAAAAATTTAAACTACATTGTTGATAAGGGGAAGCTATCATTTGATTAAGAATAAGAAAATAAAACTGCCGAAAAACCTTAACAGTAACAATAAAATCTCAAAATCTCAATTAAACCAGCTGTTACGGGTTTTAAAATCCCGCGAGGAATTGCAAAACTTGAAAGCTACCTTTTCTATAAAATCCCGCGAGGAATTGTAAAACTTGAAAGCTACCTTTTCTATATAATCCCGCGAGGAATTGCAAAACTTGAAAGCTACCTTTTCTATATAATCCCGCGAGGAATTGCAAAACTTGAAAGGTACCTTTTCTATATAATCAACAAAACTGACAAGGCCACGGAGCGTTGCAACTTTGGTTTTTCATATCCTGTACACCCTGCTGTACGAAAACATTCATTCATATTATATTCATTTCGATTGTCTGGAATGTGTAAAGAGACTTATTTGACAATGGCAAGCAGAAGAGACCTGTAATCCCCACTGGTCTCATCACTAATGTAGTCACTGAGACTCCTATCCAGCAGTCTCCCGAACTCTACTTTTATCTCCTCCAGATCTATTTCTGATCTCCACACTATAACCCGTATTAGTTCGTCATCGTCTGTCCCTACTCCCTTCATGATTTTGAAGAGCGCCTCAGCAAAGCACGCTGTCGGTCTCCTGATCAGGTTAACGATCTGTAGATATATCTCCTGATGTTCCCCTATCATCTCTGATCGTATGCTCTCCCCAATATCCTCGTACGCTTCAACCCTGTACTCCGCGAACACCAACTTCAAGTGCTCGTAACCTCGGGAAGCCAGCAGAGCGTTGAAAACAGGATCCTCCGTGCCGAACCTGTTAGGTCCAGCTTCTGAGAGGTCTTTAGCGTCTTGTTCAGCTAGGGCTGGGTCCGGTATCTCGCTCTCGTTTCTGCTCCCTTGCAGAATTGCTAGAACCAACCGTTTGTAACCGCTGCTCACGTTTAACATACCACCAAGGTCCCTTTCGATTGAAACGTTGAATTTTTGGATGTAGAATATTTTTAGTTCATTAAGGCTCCTATTATCCATGCCAATTAATACCTCTATAAGTGAGTGGGGCATACTCGTTTTTATGGCTCGGTGAGCTTCTTTAGCCAGCAGCTGGGGTACTGGCAGGATTAAACTTTTTACCAGTTTTAAGAAATGGGAGCTGAGCTCCGATTTCAGTTCCGTTTTGAGGGATTTGCCGTACATTTTCTGAAATTTAATGTGATCGCCATTGTTGTTATTTGTAAAGATGAAATACCATTACATTAAAATGAGACGACTAAAATCACTGTAAAATTCTCGTATTTATATGCCAAAGTAATAAAATGACAATGTGGATTAGAAAACGTTACCTTGAATTTGGTACAAATATCTAATCTCTGTTCAACTGTCCGGTTACTCAGAATCTTAATAATTGCAGCCTCGTCTGTTCCAATCCCCTTCATTGCTTTTTTGAGTTCTCGGCTGTCATTTTCAGCATTGCAGCTCTCATCCAAAACAATTGTCCCTGTCATTACCTCTAATATGAAATGGTTTTTACTTATTATTGATCAAGGGCACTGCAATGATAACTGTCATTACCTGGGCTCTGATATGAAATGGTTTTTACTTATTATTGATCAAGGGCACTGAAATGATAACTGACCACTTAGAAGAGCGGTCATCAAAGACCAGTGACAACCATTTACCAAACCAAATGTTAATCAGTGACCAATAATCACTGGTTAGTTGTAACCAATCACCAGTATACACTAGATTGTGGTCACTTATAATAGTGGTCAGGGACAAATCGTAATCAGTGACCCAGACAGTAGTGTTTAACTGTTGTCAACAATAATCAGTGATATATACAGTTACCATTGGTTACCAGTTACCATTGGTTACCAGTTACCATTGGTTACCAGTTACCATTGGTTACCAGTTACCATTGGTTACCAGTTACCATTGGTTACCAGTTACCATTGGTTACCAGTTACCATTGGTTACCAGTTACCATTGGTTACCAGTTACCATTGGTTACCAGTTACCATTGGTTACCAGTTACCATTGGTTACCAGTTACCATTGGTTACCAGTTACCATTGGTTACCAGTTACCATTGGTTACCAGTTACCATTGGTTACCAGTTACCATTGGTTACCAGTTACCATTGGTTACCAGTTACCATTGGTTACCAGTTACCATTGGTTACCAGTTACCATTGGTTACCAGTTACCATTGGTTACCAGTTACCATTGGTTACCAGTTACCAATGCCATTGGTTACCAGTTACCAATGCCATTGGTTACCAGTTACCAATGCCATTGGTTACCAGTTACCAATGCCATTGGTTACCAGTTACCAATACCATTGGTTACCAGTTACCATTTTTTACCAGTTACCAAGTTGGTTTCTGAATGGTTTTGATTTAAGACTAAAAATCAAACTTTTCTCAATATATTTAAACAAGTGACAGGTTTAACAAGCTTCAAACTCAAAATTACCCGTTCGGACAAAATATTACTCCTCAACAACAGTCTATAGTTCACACGACGGCACAGTTACTATGGTTACCAGTTACCATAGTATAAGTTCACACGACGACACTTAATAAAGTAATAACAACCGACTAGAACCAAAAGAAGGAATTAAATCCCAATTATCTCCGACTACAACATAACAATCAAACTCTTTCAGGAGACCAATGGCACTGAACAGGAAGTCCTCTATCCTGTGCCAGCTGTACGAGAAAAAGCACTTCACCAGCAAAGAATTCAGGAGACTCTGTGAGTCATTTTGCGAAATTTGTTATCAATTTCCGGGAAAATTGGTGATACGACCAAATGCAGAACTGAGTCTATCGAACTAAATCAACTATAAATAAACTAGTCCTGCATGGGCCAGGTTAACGGCCCATAGCCTGGTTAACCAGGGTAACCAGGGTAACCAGGGGAGGAACCATAGCCAGGTACCCAAAATCCTAATTAACTCGTGAGGATAAAAAGGTAACAATAGATAACAATATAAGAAGATTAGTACAGAAGGATCAAACCAGGTTGTTCATTCTGTTAGTATTTGAAAGTTTGTACACTGACTCTTTGAGTATTATACAGCGCTTATATATAGGCTTGGTAATGTAGTGATGTGTTATGTTGTGGTGAGTAGATATGGTATAATATGACGATCTTGAATGAAAAGGTGTAATGAACGTTCAAAAGATCCAATTTATTTGAATTACCTGACGTGCACAGTAGATTGTAGTGGAGGAATTTATGCGGAGGTATTGGATGCTGTTACGTATTACCTGACGTGCGCAGTAGATTGTAGTGGAGGAATTTATGCGGAGGTATTGGATGCTGTTACGTATTACCTGACGTGCGCAGTAGATTGTAGTGGAGGAATTTATGCGGAGGTATTGGATGCTGTGACGTATTACCTGACGTGCACAGTAGATTGTAGTGGAGGAATTTATGCGGAGGTATTGGATGCTGTGACGTATTACCTGACGTGCACAGTAGATTGTAGTGGAGGAATTTATGCGGAGGTATTGGATGCTGTGACGTATTACCTGACGTGCGCAGAAGATTGTAGTGGAGGAATTTATGCGGAGGTATTGGATGCTGTGACGTATTACCTGACGTGCGCAGTAGATTGTAGTGGAGGAATTTATGCGGAGGTATTGGATGCTGTGACGTATTACCTGACGTGCGCAGTAGATTGTAGTGGAGGAATTTATGCGGAGGTATTGGATGCTGTGACGTATTACCTGACGTGCACAGTAGATTGTAGTGGAGGAATTTATGCGGAGGTATTGGATGCTGTGACGTATTCCCTGACGTGCGCAGTAGATTGTAGTGGAGGAATTTATGCGGAGGTATTGGATGCTGTGACGTATTACCTGACGTGCACAGTAGATTGTAGTGGAGGAATTTATGCGGAGGTATTGGATGCTGTGACGCATTACCTGACGTGCACAGTAGATTGTAGTGGAGGAATTTATGCGGAGGTATTGGATGCTGTGACGTATTACCTGACGTGTACAGTAGATTGTAGTGGAGGAATTTATGCGGAGGTATTGGATGCTGTGACGTATTACCTGACGTGCACAGTAGATTGTAGTGGAGGAATTTATGCGGAGGTATTGGATTCTGTGACGTATTACCGTGGTTATGACGTCATGGCAATTAGAAAATACCGTCCACAAATTATAGATTCTATTTTAGTTTAGACTGCGCCCTCAGATCACCCACAATTTTAGTTGTGACGCATGAAGATTCCATCGGTCGGTTGAACGATTGGTCGAAAATTCGGTCGAAGAAACGATAAAAATATACAGTACATGGTTTAATGCAAGGAATATGTTTGTTAGCTCTGCTATAAGTTACCTACCTAGTTACCATAGCAACAGTTACCTATTAGTAACCTACCTAGTTACCTATTCGTTTAGGTGTTGTTATTAAACAGGAATTAAACTTTAAGCAGGAATTAAACATGAAATGACCAAGGAGAACACTAACGAACTCGTCTTGGTAATACAGCAATTCATAAAGACGATCAGAACTCTAACAAGAATTGCGCCCGTTGTTTTGTTTTGGCGGACGCTAGATTTCCATTTCACATTTACTATAAATTTAAGTACAAGCTCCAATCAGCTCACTTCAATCTTCATGTGCATGATAATAATATTGATAAATTATGCATCAAATACGGGAAACACTTGACATTCAGTTCAATTGCCGTAGAACTTAACTTGTATCTGTAATTCAAGAAATTATCAGCAAAGGTAAACTATACTCGTGTACACATCAATACACTATGCGTGCCACGTACAAATTGGGCGTATTACCTAATAGTAATATTATACATTACATGCATCATATACATTAAAACACAGTCGCGCCGCGCATTCATAGATCACAGGCTATCTATACATCACATCTCCGCAAGCAATCCTCGCGCGCGCGCAACTTTTTCGTTGCATGGTAACGGACGGAATGACATCATATTCAAACCCGCCTACTGCTATCTCCAAAATCCACGTTTTTCTGCAAAAACCTCCATTCGTAACCTTTCACTATTGCCTTTTTTCAAAAGGGTGAAAAGGAAAAAATCGAGAGAGAGCTATAAAAATAAAATCTTGAAAATTAACCGCGTTACAATTTCAGAGAAAAAAATCGAATATAATAATTTTAATACGAGTAAAACGGTATACTTTCTACTCAACGCTATATCGAGAGACAAAATCTATAACTTGTATGTACTTATTAAACCTTTTGATCGACTGATGAAAACACATGTTAATTACAGATTATTCTCCTTTTCTGGATATATTATGGGTTAATACATTATATAATATATATATACATTATTATTATATCTAATTTCAGGGGACTTCTATGATAAAGACGGTAGTGGTTTTTTGGAGTACTCCGAACTTGAAAGGTTCCTAAGGTAATTGTAAAACTGAAACTTTAAATCGTTTAACAAAGAATAGGCCCTGTAATTGTTTCCATCCTACGTTTGCGTTGTACAATGATTCGGGTAAAATCCAAAAAATTTAAGTATTAAATTTCGTCCCTAAAAATCACATAGCCTTTTTTAATCTGGCTTGATTACCTCTAAATAAGGACTGGTAAGAATGTAACCTAATGAAATCTGTCTTTGATTTCAACAAGAGACTAAGGAAAGACTTGTAGTATAGTGTAAAGACTTGCTAATAATTTGCTCAGGGATCTCACAGAGGTAACTCTTGGAGAAGACGTTGACGAAGCAGAATATGAGAAGTTCAAAACCAAGATTATGGGAATGATAGATGACAACGAGAACGGAAAGTTAGAAGCTAAAGAACTGGTTAGCTGATCTAGATGAACTTAATTAGTTTTTATCCATTTTGTAAACTTCTACTTCAGCTGAAATGGGTCTTTTGTTCGCAACGTGAAGCTCTTAAAATATGTTTAATATAACACATGTTATGGGAGTAGCAGCTAAATCCACATTTGATAGAAAAGTGCTTATATCACAGCAAAGGTCGGTCACCCCCAGAGTTGGGATGGTCTGAGGGTCTTATCTCCTTATCTGTAGGCCTAAGCCACTCCGTGCCAGGGCACTTAGTCCTGTTGAAGGGGGGTTAGTCCTGTTGAAGGGGGGTTAGTCCTGTTGAAGGGGGGTTAGTCCTGTTGAAGGGGGGTTAGTCCTGTTGAAGGGGGGTTAGTCCTGTTCAAGGGGGTTAGTCCTATGCCTATGCTATATATCCTTCTCCCCCAGTCCAAGATAATTCCGACAGAAGAGAACTTCCTGCTAGCGTACAGCATACAATCCCAGAACCTGGGGGCCCAGCTCTCCAGTCAGGACTTCTTAGAGATCTGGTGCCATTATGACAAGGATTGTAGTGGGTATCTGGATTTTACAGGTAATACTGAGTAATCATTATTAATATAATCATTATATTACTGAATAATCATTATATTACTGAATAATCATTAAAAAGCGGTGTCAAATCAAAATTGAATTGATGTCGTAGATCACCGAAAATGTCGCCTTTAATTTATTTACGTGTTAAATTAAGTCTTGTTCTTCAAAACTTGAATGAAAATTCAAAAATCTCATGAGTTATATTCACCCGCAGAGGCGAAGGACTTCATGAAGGACATGCTGAAAGTGAACAGTGTGAAAGTTGACCTGAATAACGTTACCTACCTGGACACTTTCTTCAAAACATTTGATACTGATGATAACGGTAAGAGAAACCACTAGTTACCACTAGCTACCACTAGCTACCACTTGTTACCACTAGTTACCACTAGTTACCACTAGTTACCACTAGTTACCACTAGTTACCACTAGTTACCACTAGTCACCACTAGTAATTTCAAAAGAGAAATTGTTCCAAACGTCATCAGTCTCATAAGTACTAATTGTATTTGCAACATTTTGATATGATCTTATCAAAATCCCAGCCAGAAATGTCAAAATTCTTGTGCATGTGCAATGTTATTTAATTATGTGATTATGTAATTATGTAATTATTTAATTATTTAATTATGTAATCGTGTAATTATGTAATTATGTAATTATGTAATTATGTAATTATGTAATTATGTAATTATTTAATTATGTAATTATTTAATTATGTAATTATTTAATTATGTAATTGTGTAATTGTGTAATTATGTAATTATGTAATTATGTAATTATGTAATTGTTAATGTTATCCAGGTGTTATTGAGATTGATGAGATGGCAGCTATCTTCCCGGTAGAGGAAAGGTTTACGAATGCTCTGAAAGAGAGGAAAAGATTTACTAAGGAGGAATTTGATAGGTTAGTTACCACCAGTTACCACCAGTTACCACCAGTTGCCACCAGTTACCACTAGTTACCACTAGTTATCACAAGTTACAACTTGTAACCACTAGTTACCACCAGTTACTACTTGTAACCACTAGTTACCACTTGTTACCACTAGTCACCACTAGTTACCACTTGTCACCACTAGTCACCACTAGTTACCACTAGTTACCACTAGTTACCACTTGTTACCACTAGTTACCACTAGTTACTACTTGTAACCACTAGTTACCACTAGTTACCACTAGTTACCACTAGTTACTACTTGTAACCACTAGTTACCATTAGTTACCACTAGTTACCACTAGTTACTACTTGTAACCACCAGTTACCACTAGTTACCACTAGTCACCGCTAGTTGCACCGCTAGTTACCACTAGTTACCATTAGTTACCACTAGTTACCACTAGTTACCACTAGTTACCGCTAGTTGCGGTATATATCACAAATCACAATAGTTCTCGCACGCTAAATATGCAAAATATCTATTTGGTAGTCAGTATTATTTATTGGGAGCATGCTTGACAAAATAATTCATTAATTCTCAACCTTGTGAAGAATTTGTCATTCAAATAAACATATAAATCAAAGTGAGAGAATTAGTATTTACAACGTTAATATTATATATATATAATATTAAATTATATACTTATTTTGACAACCACTGCCATAAGATTATTTACGATAGTTTAACGATACGATTTATCAATCAAATGTCGGCAGATATGGTTAGGTGACCCAACATTTAACCACTAGTTACCACTAGTTGGGTGGGCGACAATTGACCCCCCGACAATTGACCCCCCGACAATTGACCCCCCGACAATTGACCCCCCGACAATATAATTAAATACAATTGACCCTGACCCTAACCCTGACCCTGACCCTAACCCTAACCCTAACTCTTACCCTAACCCTAACCCTAACCCTAACCCTAACCCTAACCCTAACCCTAACCCGAACCTTAACCCTAACCCTAACCCTAACCCTAACCGGAACCCTAACCCTAACCCTAACCCTAACCCTAACCCTAACCGTTACCCTGACCCAGGACCCTAACCCTAACCCTGACCCAGGATCCTGACCCTAACCCGATCAATTGACCCCAGTGTAACTACATGGGGGGTCAATTGTCGGGGGGTCAATTGTCGTACTAAACCCTAGATTTCGCGACAACTGACCCCAGTGTAATTACATAGGGGTCAATCGTCGGGGGGTCAATTGTCGGGGGGTCAATTGTCGGGGGGTCAATTGTCGGGGGGTCAATTGTCGCGGTACCCACTAGTTACCACTAGTTACCACTAGTTACCACTAGTTACCACTAGTTACCATTAATATCAAATCTTTCAGATTATTTGACCAGTACGACACCAACAAATCAGGAATGGTGACAGCTAAACAGCTCCCTAAAATGATTTCAGACCTGTCTAAGATTAGTAAAACTAACCTCAACGATAAGCAGGTCGCCGAAATAAGCGGCAGGTTGATACAGGTTCGTAACCATGACAACACTTCATAACCAATAACCATGACAACACTTCGTAACCATGACATCACTTCATAACCAATAACCAATTCAGGTCAGTGATTAAACTGTGTATTTAATAGTGGAAGCTGGGTGGTTTATTGCTGTCAGTTATCAAAACATTATCACCCCCACCCCACCCCACCATCCCTTACCCTCCCTCACCCCCACCATCCCTCACTCACCCCACCCCACCATCCCCCCTCCCCACCATCCCTCAACCCCCCCCCCCCTCCCCCCACCCTCCACCCCACCGGAATCCACATTTTTAGATCTGAGAAGGATTGAAGTTAATAATGATATCTTGGGTAATTTGAAAGTGTCAAGAATAAATAGCCGGTTTTGTTGATCACATTCTACCCAAATTCTATTTTTAGATTTTTATTCACTCATGCACACTATACTTCGTAAATGTGACCCGTCAAAAATTGACTCAAACATTTTGACAACATCGGGGATACCCATTATACTTATAACACCATGAAATTCTGACAACTGTCAACTATGTGTTAAACGATCACAGACACTTCGTAACCATGACAACACTTCACAGATATTACAAACTCAACCATAAATGAATACTAAATACTTCCAGGTAAAGTTTACAGAATATTTTTTATCCGACAAAGTGAAAACTGCAAGTTCGTACATTTAAATACTGTTTATACAGTTTGTTTTCCTAGTCGCAATAATAAACGGGAACACTATAAATTTGTCCCCAGAAACATTCCAACAATGCGACCAATAGATTGTGTTCCAACCCGGATATTACACTGTTTAGACATATGACTGAACTTTTTCCAGCAACGCTATTATAATTATATATTATATTATATTATAAATTATAATGTATAATAGTGGGTAAACTATTATAATTATCTTCAGATGTTTGGACATGCTAACAAGCTCCCAAGGGACAAGATATCCCTGTTCTTGACGACAAAGTGCGTGTACGAAGCGTTGGCACGTGACGGACACGACGACACTTCGTAACCATGACAACACTTCATAACCAATAACCATGACGACACTTCGTAACCATGACAACACTTCATAACCAATAACCATGACGACATTTCGTAACCATGACAACACTTCATAACCAATAACTATGACGACATTTTTTAACCGTGCCGATACTATACCCACTTTTATCAAAACCATGACGACATGACTATACTTCCTTGGAACATACAAACTCTAAACTTTATGTGACGATTCATGGGAACTCAGGCTTTAATCTTTTAATGTTTATTACTATTGGTTACAAGTGGTAACCAATAGTTGCTGCTACTTGTTACCACTTGCTGCTACTTGTAACCAATAGTTACCACTGGCCACCACTTGCTGCTACTTGTTACCAATAGTTACCACTAGCTACCACTTGTTACGACGTCTTGTTACTGGCGTTGTCCAGTAAACATGACTACTTAAATACTTTTATAAACACTTTGGCTTACCAGACATCAACCAGCCTGGCATTTTGCCAACAGTAAAATAGTAGTTATCCAGTTCCATAACATTTTACCTTTCAGTTATTTAACTCTTTACTCTTTACTCTGGACAACTCTCCGAACATTTGATTTACAAAATATCTTTGAGAAATAATTGATCGATCATGTAAAAAACAGAAGATGTATCGCAACACAATGTTTCTGGAACAATTTGTGAATTTTTGGATATATATATATAATAAGTTAAACAGTGTGAATATTCTGGTGGATTCGTGTAGTGTTATTGAGTCTCATGATTTGATAGTTCTTTCATTCAAATTTCTGATTGTTTCTGAATAGACTCAGTGAAGACAGATTCTAATGGAAATAAATAGCTGAATAACGTATCGACATTTTTACGTCATACTCATATCGTCAAATTGTTTGTTATATAATAGTTTTGAAAGTATTAAGTGTGAATATTGTTGGGCTCCATTTAAAAATAAATCTAATTTCAGCTGAAACACAAAAGTGTATAATTAATTATGAGCAATTAGTATGTTAACAGTTAATTATACTTCATGTAACTTGTCATTGTATGCTAATTAAAGACAAGCACACAGAATATATAACTTTACATCTTAGACTTGTTAAACAGTTTATCCTGTCTAACTTGTTAAACACTCATTAGTAGGTTTTTATCCTCAATCTCTTAAAAAACGATCAGTCTGGTAATATGTTTCATATTTTACTAATACTGCATATTTGTAAGATTTCTAGTAATATAGTTGTGGAACACAACAAGAAAATTGAGAATAATCTTGTGCGAGGGTAGGGACCCAGATGTCGTTTCTAACCCAAATAAACTTTAAGGAGGCTTCTCATCAGTAGCCGCACCTCCTTACTCGGTTTCTGAACTGGAATTCTATGGGCTTCCAGACGGCCAGACCGAGTATTACCACCCCATCCTTCTAGAGTTCATCACAAGTAGCACCCACCTTGAAGATCTTTGACACCCAGACACACCCCATTGGCGAACAAACTTTGGATATAATCTTACATGCTCCCGAAGGAATCCCTGGTTTATGGTCTTTCTCATCGTCACCAGCACTTTCACTAGAGTCACCAGCCCTTTCACTGGAGTCATCAGCCCAATCACTGAAGTATACAGAAGTATAGTTGTGGAACACAACAAGAAAATTGAGAATAATCTTGTGCGAGGGTAGGGACCCAGATGTCGTTTCTAACCCAAATAAACTTTAAGGAGGCTTCTCATCAGTAGCCGCACCTCCTTACTCGGTTTCTGAACTGGAATTCTATGGGCTTCCAGACGGCCAGACCGAGTATTACCACCCCATCCTTCTAGAGTTCATCACAAGTAGCACCCACCTTGAAGATCTTTGACACCCAGACACACCCCATTGGCGAACAAACTTTGGATATAATCTTACATGCTCCCGAAGGAATCCCTGGTTTATGGTCTTTCTCATCGTCACCAGCACTTTCACTAGAGTCACCAGCCCTTTCACTGGAGTCATCAGCCCAATCACTGAAGTATACAGAAGTATAGTTGTGGAACACAACAAGAAAATTGAGAATAATCTTGTGCGAGGGTAGGGACCCAGATGTCGTTTCTAACCCAAATAAACTTTAAGGAGGCTTCTCATCAGTAGCCGCACCTCCTTACTCGGTTTCTGAACTGGAATTCTATGAGCTTCCAGACGGCCAGACCGAGTATTACCACCCCATCCTTCTAGAGTTCATCACAAGTAGCACCCACCTTGAAGATCTTTGACACCCAGACACACCCCATTGGCGAACAAACTTTGGATATAATCTTACATGCTCCCGAAGGAATCCCTGGTTTATGGTCTTTCTCATCGTCACCAGCACTTTCACTAGAGTCACCAGCCCTTTCACTGGAGTCATCAGCCCAATCACTGAAGTATACAGAAGTATAGTTGTGGAACACAACAAGAAAATTGAGAATAATCTTGTGCGAGGGTAGGGACCCAGATGTCGTTTCTAACCCAAATAAACTTTAAGGAGGCTTCTCATCAGTAGCCGCACCTCCTTACTCGGTTTCTGAACTGGAATTCTATGGGCTTCCAGACGGCCAGACCGAGTATTACCACCCCATCCTTCTAGAGTTCATCACAAGTAGCACCCACCTTGAAGATCTTTGACACCCAGACACACCCCATTGGCGAACAAACTTTGGATATAATCTTACATGCTCCCGAAGGAATCCCTGGTTTATGGTCTTTCTCATCGTCACCAGCACTTTCACTAGAGTCACCAGCCCTTTCACTGGAGTCATCAGCCCAATCACTGAAGTATACAGAAGTATAGTTGTGGAACACAACAAGAAAATTGAGAATAATCTTGTGCGAGGGTAGGGACCCAGATGTCGTTTCTAACCCAAATAAACTTTAAGGAGGCTTCTCATCAGTAGCCGCACCTCCTTACTCGGTTTCTGAACTGGAATTCTATGGGCTTCCAGACGGCCAGACCGAGTATTACCACCCCATCCTTCTAGAGTTCATCACAAGTAGCACCCACCTTGAAGATCTTTGACACCCAGACACACCCCATTGGCGAACAAACTTTGGATATAATCTTACATGCTCCCGAAGGAATCCCTGGTTTATGGTCTTTCTCATCGTCACCAGCACTTTCACTAGAGTCACCAGCCCTTTCACTGGAGTCATCAGCCCAATCACTGAAGTATACAGAAGTATATATATATTTCCAGTAATATTAGTAATATTTCAGATGTTTGCTAACAAGGACATCCCACGAACAGAGCTGTCCCTCGTGATATCCTCCAACACCCCACAACACGGCGTCCAATTCAAACGGGAAATGAACGAAAAGAGGCAGTCGTTAAGGAGTTAATTGATGGACCAATTATTCAATTAAATAATTATCAAACCACATTTCAAATCATGCCAGGACGCAGTATTATTTCCCGCTTGGATCGAATTTGTGCCAGATATACAAGTCGGAGGTGAGCATTAACCACGTGACAGCGTAACCATGGGATACTGTAACCATGGGATACTGTAACCACGTGAAACCGTAACCATGGGATACCGTAACCATGGGATACTGTAACCACGTGACCCCGTAACCATGGGATACTGTAACAAGTATAGGATTCTGTTTCTACGTGATACTGTAGAATGAGTCAACTTGGAAGGATTTCCATAGGATCCTATAAAATTAAACCGGGGATAGTTTAACACTACAGATTTGTGGTAAACGTGTCCTCCCTCCCTCCCTCCCTCTGTGCACACTGCACTACTCTGTAGTGTTACCATGGTAACTAGTAGTGTAACCATGGTAACTAGTAGTGTAACCATGGTAACACTACACTACTCGTGTTTTAATCTGACGAACAACAAGACGGAAGTGTATGTTGTGTAAATGGCTGCTTTGTATGTGATTTGCTGAGACCATATCATCTGACTAAAGATTGTGTTTTCTCAAGAAACAGTGGTGCCCATAATTGAGGCCGAGCTGCCTGCAAAAAAGATGTTTTACTATCAACTTACCGATAACACTGGGGCTTTATCCTGCTAAAATAAGTAGCTAATTATATACTTATAAAGCTTCGTATGCCCTGAGTAGAGCCCACTAAATGTTTTACATAATTAAATAGCTTGATAAGGTTTTCATTTTCTTAAAGAATTAATCCTAGAAGTATAACATTTTACCATTATTGATGAAACTGTGTTGACTGCTAATGTGAGTTAACTAAATTTAAAGAAGCAGAAAGACTTTTTTTTGAAAATAAAGATTACTAAATAATAACCACTCGAAGTTAAATACTTTAGTATCTTTGGGTCGCTGAGTCAAAAAACATTTTTTTGTCAATATCTTTAAAACGGAGTACTGGAGACCTTATGTTTCTTCATAACTTGTATATAAATGTGACTTTTGCGGTTGTTTTAAGCTAAAAGTGAAGTCTCTATGACCTTCAGGAGCCAAAATACAAAAATCCCATATACGCGACTGAGGGTAATTTAGAAAATGTGCCCTGTATGGTTGTCTCTAGCGAAACAAATTGCGTACCTTAACGATTTTGGGTCAAAATGACCTATTACAAAGGACCCTGTGTCGTCAGAAATCGTGTACATCGAAGTGCACACTCAACTATTATATGCCCTGCTACTAGATTAAGGTTTGCGATGTACACTAATCCATCCCTGCAACCACAATGTATCTGTTCACAAAAACAGTATATATAGTATAACTATATAAATTAATTGTAAATATACTTTAATGGAATGAGATTTGTTGTTTACTGTTTACCTTTTCGTAGGTTTTTATCAAATCATTTGGCTTCGATCGGTGAATTCAAAGTTTAATTAAAATACGTATACGAGTTTACTAATTTTGGTTATGAAAGGTGTCATTGTCTATGAACCGGCTTCAAATGATTCCGATCTGGAAAATTGAGTGATAAGTATGCTCTTACATAGTTGATAAAATATAATTTCCTGACTGTACTTGATGATGTGACTATAAGTATAATTGAATATAGGGAAAGGAAAATTAAAATTTATAGTAAAATTTATTATTAGTAAAATTCTGAAAATCACCCCTGGCTGAGTGCCTTACTTCAAAACCAGATCTGAGTACAGTAGAGGATGACTATCACTACACTCTACTGTCACGTGAGTTTTTCTACAGGTTCTCTAGCTGGCCCTGAGCGACTATTCGAAACCCTAACCCAATCTCTAACAAAAGCATATGCTGAAACCCTAACCCTGACGAGAAAGAATTAATTAAATTCTCAGATACAGAGAATGATCCCTTACACCTTAGCACCAGCTCAGCTTGCAACTTTTTGATTGGCCCTTTAGCTACCAGAAGCAATATTAAATTATACTGCATTATCATGAATTTTTCTTCTTAAAGTTAAGATTAGGGACCACGATAAAAATAAACTTGCTCGGATTTTCAAAAGCTCAGCTTGCGACTATTTGATCAGCCCTTTAGCTACCAGAAGCAATATTAAATTATACTGCATTATCATGAATTTTTCTTCTTAAAGTTAAGAATAAATAGCGCTTGCCGGGTCAGTCCATTACTAATGGACTGACCCGGCAAGCGCTATGGCATTAGTGGTCGTTCACATATTACGTAATCACTTTGGACAATTTTTATCCCCCCCCCCTAGCTCCCCCTCCGTAATTAGTTTTACGAATAGTTTTTTTTATAATCTAGACACTTATTTTACTTCGGAGTATTCCAACAGCCATATTGTTACACAAGTGCAACCAGCCAATTACAGGAAGCCGAAGAATTTGTTTTTAGCCAGTGACGGTTAAGGTAGTGTGTACCATACTTTCTTCGCCCGAGACTTTGCTGCAATGTGCAGCTCCTCATTTAACCCTCACACCCGATTTCTCGAGTATTCGGCTGAGTACACCGGGGGCTGCATAGACCACTCACGATCCTTAGCTGAATGTCAACGACACTCACCCCACGACCAGGCAGGCAGTGGGATTTGAACCCGCAACCTCACGATTGCAAAGCTGGCTAACCAACTGCGCTACCTGGCCGTTATTGTGTCAAAATTACACTAACGTAATCGTTTGGAAACCCTACTTTTTGTTGAGTAGCTCCATCTTATTAGAATTAATTAAATTCTCAGTTCCAGAGAATGATCCCTTGGCACCAGCTCAGCTTGCAACTATTTGATTGGCCCTTTAGCTACCAGAAGCAAATTCTACTGCATTATCATGAATTTTTCTTCTTAAAGTTAAGATTAGTGAGAAATTCTTGCGAAGTAACTGATGGAACTGGAAGGATATAAATTATTAAAATGAAATTGAAAGTAACTTAAAACATAAAAACTTTACCAGATTTTACACAATATTTTATTGCATATTTGACCAAAACCCATAATCATGGGTAGAGTGGAGCGCTGCCAGTGTCTCTCTTTCCCAAACAAAAGGCAATGATATCAATTTGAATGACCGTTATCAAATGCAAAATGATACCGAGAATGAAATCGGTCGCTCGCTTTTCCCACTCATTCATGGCTTACGAATTGTAATAAGTTTCGATTTATAACATGTAATCTATTTAAATTGTAAATGAATGGGAAAAGCGAGCGACCGATTTCATTCTCGGTATCATTTTGCATTTGATAACGGTCATTCAAATTGATATCATTGCCTTTTGTTTGGGAAAGAGAGACACTGGCAGCGCTCCACTCTACCCATGATTATGGGTTTTGGTCAAATATCATCTCTTTTTGATTATATAATGTCAGGGTACTTTACAAAGCCGAAATGTAAACTCATAACTTCATTAATATTAATAAGGAGGTGATTTCAACAATTTCGAAATTTTTCCTTTAAAAACATTTCCTTGTGTTTAGGTAAGCATATCGGTCGATCACTGACTGAATATGCCACTTTATGCTCATTCAAGTTGGCATTAAATTCATATATAATGACATTGAACTGTCGTGGCAAAGCAGAATTTGTTCAAAATCACGAATGAGCAAAATTTGAACCTTTCGTTGACATACGTTGCATGCCACTTTTCGCGCGCGCGTGCAAACCTTGAGCGGAAGTTGCGTGCGCATCCAACATCACATCAGTTCGAGAATATTGCTACCTCGGGATAACCTTTACCCTCAACGGTTCTTCAGCAGTAGCACAGAACAAACTGAAGCAAAAAGGTCTCAGAAGCTACTTCGCGCTAAAAAGCAGTATTGACTTAAGACACTTCAGGCGAACAATCGTATTCAAGCTATTCGACGCGCTTGTGGTACCGATTGTGACATACGGATGTCAGGTGTGGCTCCCAGAGACTCTCTTTGTCAGAAACTATCAAGATAATATCAACACCAAATCTCTCCTGAAGGAGACTGCAAGAGATCCTCTCGAAAAGCTTCATCTCTCATTCCTCAAGTGGACCTTAGGAGTGGGCAGAAAAACCTCAAATGCGAGTGTATGGGGTGATACAGGCCGCTGCCCCCTAGTGATAAAGGCATCAAAGCAAGTATTTGGGTATTTCAACCGACTTGAGCAAATGGACAGAGCTGGTTGCACAAGTCTAGCCAGACAGGCGTTCATAGAACAACGCACACTCAATCTGCCATGGTACAAAGGTATAGAAGATCTCCGACAAAGCCTTCAGTCAGTATCATCTCGCAGGTTGACCTACCCCAACCAATTCAAAACAGCACTACGTAGTACTTTTATTAACTGTTGGAACGAGGAGCGGCAAAACAACCGGAAGCTCAGTTTCTACAACACTATCAAAAGTGAATTCACAGCTGAAGCGTACCTGAACCTGCAGCTCAGTGGAGAAGAGGTGAAGCGGCTGGCGCAGTTCAGAATGAGTGCTCATAAGTTCAACATCGAGACCGGTAGATACGCCATTAACCGTGAAAATCCGCTCAGTCGCATTTGTAAGCACTGTTCTTCATCAGACCTTGAAGCTGTCGGTATACTGGCCGAACTACCAATGTTTGAGCCGATCATTGAAGATGAGAAACACATTCTCACGGATTGTTCGCTTTACGACGACCTGAGGCGAAACATAGGTCAGCAGGCGAGAACCATGATCACCTCTGGAGCGGAGACCTTTGCCGACCTCTTCAAGGATATCCTATTGATCAGAGAAACTGCCAGATTCTTGAGTAAAGTGAACAAGCGGAGGTTCCCCCCGAGTGACAGAAAAGAAAAGGAAGGACCTACAACATGACTCACGGACTCAACATGCGAAACGTGGATCCGACAGTGTGTTATTTTTCGTGTGCGTTTCACACTTTTGATTTAGTGTGGAATTTATGTGTGGATCTTAGGCATGGACACAAAGGACTGGTTGTTCGCGTCATGAACATTCCTTTTTAGAATAGCTCGGTTTTTAAACTCTTTAGACTATAACCGTCAACCGTGCATTTTTCAGGACAGGTTTCGGTTATTTCGTTTTTGACTTTCATTTTATCTTTATTTTTTAAAATTTAGATCCGACACAATGTTTATTGTAATGATCATTTTATTTTGAAACCCTTTGAAACCCTTCCAATATTGAATCACCGTAAATTTTTGCATGATGGTGTTTTATATATAGTTTGATAAGCATGAAAAGTTTTAAAGTATTTCAAGAAGAACTGTTATCACAACGGCACTCCAAAGTTGACGGAAATTGGTGAAAACAGCAATTTTCAGTGATTTTAGCAATTTTCTATCAATTTGGGCGTGGCCCCACGTGTGCAACTTTTCGATTTTCAACTTTAAAACTAGCCTATGACACAATTT